TATGAAGAAAAATATATTCAAGCAAAAACCTCGTCAGTCATATTATTAAATGTTTCTTTAATTAAGTTTGGAAATTGTTTGATAACACTAAACCATTGCAATTTCCAACATCGTTAAATTTCACCGCCTTTTTCATATATATTCGCTATGTTTTTAACTAGACTTTTCGCTAACGACTATTTCGGAGTTTGCCCTTAAGTTATCGTATGCGCGCATTAATTTTAGTGCAGAGGAAAATTAGTCTGGATTTGCGGGCACTCGCTCATTATCTCTGTGAACTGCCGTGGGCGCCGCGATATCGTGCCCTTAAAATTAATTTATTTGAGTCGTCAATCTTCATGAAATATGAATATCTCCCAAATTATGTGCACGTATATATTATCAAAATTCCCCTGAATTATCGCCCAAATATTTACCAATAATTTAGTAGAATGGAAAGAATCGTGAATATGTACATTTAGCATAACAATACCTTGTAGAATTTGTTTTTTTTTTATGTTACCAGCATACCTTACGAATAAAACCAAACCAAAATAAAAGTCTTAAAAACAAAACCTGGAAACTAGTATTACTTGTTTATAAAACTTGTATGCACTGAATCTACGAATTAACCTTTTGAGATGGAACGTCATTGGTACATCGATGCAACTTGTAAGGATGTCTTTCCACTCACGTTACCACTCAATAAACAAATAATACTTACTTGATAAAATATTGGGATACTTCTCGCTTTGAAACTGCATCCTCAAAATTAAAACACAGTAATTACACAGTTTTGTATTTATAGTTAAAATATAGGCGTTGCACATAGATTCTCAATACCCGTATTTCCTCCGATGAATTTCCTGTGGATAAATTACGTACATTTCATCGTGTCAAAATTTGCTGGGAAAATGGCGTCCACCGAAGGACCGCCGTTAGCTCTGGCATTTGGTCTACCGGTTCGCGGGCGCGCGCTAAATTGAGGAACCGTGTGCACAATTTGTTTTAGACGGGCGATCTGAAATCGCATTCACTTCGTTTATTACTAAGCCCGCTTCATGGTAAATTCTTTCTGATGTTTGAAACAATGGAAGTGTATCTGACAGTGATTAATTTATTCCTCCAGAATCACTAGATGAATAGAGCGTTCACAGGTAAGTGATGCATCAATTATTGGAGCATCACATAATTTTATTAGATTATTCTTCGTTTAAATGTAAGAAAAAAATTGTTGACGATCGTATCTCTGGCTGCTTCATTGTCATTCACTGAGACCGAGAAATTCTAAATTATAATAGCTTTTTTCTCTAGCTGAATGTAATTTTTCTTTCAAAATAGCAGAATACGTCGAAAAACTTTACACAGTCCATTTCATTACAAAAATACTTCAGAAAACTTAACATAATCTATTTCATTGTGAAGCTCTTATTCCTAACGTGAACGTCACTTACAAGTTTATCGCAGCTCTCACTTGAAGGATCTGGTTACACTGAAGGGACGCCTGTTGCCCAGCTTATCCCACTTGGCGGGCGGCTTGTCAGGATATTTCAGCTCACCACTTCCTGGCAGCTCTTCCCTGAGGCGCCTGGCGAGGCGCAGGAGAGCCTGGCGAGGCGCAGGAGGGCCTGCCGAGGCGCAGGAGAGCCTGGCGAGGCGCAGGAGAGCCTGGCGAGGCGCAGGAGAGCCTGGTACGATGTGTAGAAAATCGTGTGATCGAAATTAAGAACTTGTTCTAGTTTATGAACTAGGGAGGTTGTCGCGTTATATTATAATGAAATTTCTTAGGAGCATCAAGCGACCAAAATTTAATGGCTTACTATAAGTGACTCATTATTCATACATATATTTATTTGTAATCATTTGTGGTGTACAACGTACTATTTAAATCGTAAAACTCCATTCATGGATACTATCTCTTACTTTTTATTTTTATTTTAGTGTTTGAATTCAAATTTCCAAAAATTCGTAATTCTATACGTACAATTCGTAATTCCCAACACCGCATTCATATGACGTGCAATTGGGGGAGTGAGGCAGCTGCCGTCGACATGGATTATTCAAATTTTGACTCATGCCACCCGACGCCAGAACCAAAGCCTGAAGTAAAGATTCAATGGCCGATATTTACGAGACATCATTCGGGGTTTTGACAGCCGCGCTTGGATTCGTTACAAAATCCACCCGTCAGGATTTCGATAAATCTTGTCTATTTTTCCACCCAGAAATACGGACGACAAATCGTATGCGTTACGGAATTTATGTTTTGTTAAGCCGATTTGTGTCAGCTGTGAAATCTTTGAAAATGCTTCCGAGAAATTTCAAAGGTTCGTGATTCAAAGTTCTGTCTATTGATTTCACCATCAGAGCAATGAATCGGTTTCAATTATGATATTAAATATTTAAAGAGTCTATAAGCAGATAGTGAAATATATTGATTGTAATCTGAAATTTTTGTATCATAGGTATATGCAAATACTTTTTGTGTACCTCGATTTTGTCCATAATTCAGTTTTGGGAAAGTCCGCGTTAATAAAATATGACGTTTGTAATTCAGCCGAAAAGCTTCCAATTATTTTCCTTGAGCAATTTCCACACTGTATTTATTTTCGGAGAGAAAATTCAATTTGTTTGGAAATTATTTTCAAATGAATTTTGTTATTTTACACCATGGTTTGATCTTCTTGAACTGTGGAAAATTTGTTGAAGAGTTATTGCAGCAATGTTAATACTGAGAAACCATTTTTCTTTTCCTTTTGGTGACACTTGAATTTTTCGGTTGCTCGCTGTCAACAGTCAGATTCATGCACGTGTGCAGAAATTAACATAAAATATCTATTCCTAGGCATCCACATTATTTTTCTAAAGACCATCTCAGTGTTTCCATTAATCGTTGTGATTCATTGTAGATCTTATGTCGATGTTAACATCGAATAACCGTGTAAGAAGTAGTTGGTTAAACTAAAACCTATAGATAATGCTCGCAGTCGTTTAAATTTCAAAGTGATGGACGGCAATTTCTTTCAGGATATAATCAACAAGCGAGCCATTATTTTAATTTGAATTTTCATTCATTAATACGAATTTAAATTGAACAGGTAATCGAATTAATTTTTATGTTGAAATCAATGCCCTCATTATGTTTGGAGCAGCTATCGCAAAGTCTTGCGTACTAAAATAGTGTTAACATCCGAAGCTCATGTGAAGTATTTTTTCTAACGTTTCAAAGAAAAAGAGAATGGAAATAACATCATTGTTCCCAGTTAGGTTGTGACAATTTTAACATAACGTTGAGTTAAGTGTTAAGTAAGATTGTCCATTTACGACCTCTCATTTTCAGCGCTTCAATTAAAACGGCGATTTTAACCTATATTCGTATTCTAAAAGTAGCTGTTTGGTGGACAACTCTGCGCAAATCACTTACCGAGTTGCATTTCATTCTAAGATTAAGTATGAAAAACCTATTTTATAATTAACAGCTTACGGTCTTTAATGCTTGCTGGAAGTCGGCCTTTGAATTCCCAACAATCGCCGGCATTAGTCGGTTGCCGTGGACCACTTAGAATCGCTGTTGTTTGGAGATAAAACGTGGAAAGTTTGAGTCTAGAAAATAAACTTGCTGCAACACAGCACATGGTTGAGGAAGCATCTTATTACGTCTTAAAAAGGCTCATGAGATTCATATAATAGTAGGGGCTTACGAAAATACTTTTGAGATTTTTTCTTTCGTTGAAGGAGGGTTAATTTTCCCCGTTTCCAAACTTTATATTTTAATTAGTATTTTTTTTACAGCAGACACGCTGTCACTTTCGTTTTTTTTATTTATTTTAACATACATACTTTTTATCAGACAAAGTTTCGTTGTTTCATTCATGAACTTTGCTTTCTGTTATAAGACTTATATCTTTAGTGAACCTTTCTTTAGTGGAGGTTGCAAACGAGCCACGTGTGAATAATTCCAGCTCGTAGGATTGTCGGAAGCTCTTAAGTGTTCATGTCTGCCATAAGCACGCGCTGAGTAACACATAAACTGCAGAATAAGAGCAACTTCCTATGGGTACTGGAAATGTTTATAGACTACTTATAAATTTTGACATTATCTTCAGTAATTTAGGAATGAATTGTTTATGATTTTATTGGTAAATAATTTAAATTAAAAGTAAAATGATATTGTGAACTCCATGTTTCTTTATTTGAAGACGACTAAGCTCAAAAACTTGGCTTGATGATTTTTAAGATCAAGGAATAATGTTATGAAAACAGAATGTTTATTATTTCTAATACACAACAAATTCGATTTTTCTCAAGCCAGTAATATTTGTAGCAAGTGAAATATTTTTCAATATCTCTCCTTAGAAAAGAAAGATATTTTTCAAGGTTTGGAAATCGGAGATAAAGTTGTTTATTGAAAGGAAAAAAATTCAAAAGAGTGGCATTTGAATCAAGTCATTGACGAATGAACAGATTTTTTCAATAAAAAATGAAAATTTTCGGATATTCCTGTTGTTTCCCGTTCCGCCGAGGTTCATATGCAAGTCCAGTCTTTTGTTCCGTTCCTGAAGCAGATTTTGATGCGATAACCTTTATGATTTTTAGCTTGCCAGTGGGATAGAGTGCTTCATGTTCAATAATTAATTGCAATATTTCAAGTGACGCAAATGATTATTTTCATTATTTTCATAATAAACGCGCTCGTGTCGTCAATGTTTCAGTAATTTCTTCTGTACAGATATTTGGTTTGTTGATGTGGTCTCGTTTATTTTTACTTGCATAGGCCAGTATAATTCAACAGAACTACCAATTCGATTTATAAAGACTCAAATTAGAATGGAATCAAAAAAAATTATCGACTTGAAGAGGGTGGAGGGCGTTTCTGCATAAATGACAATGATTGTTCGAAATTATTTAAATTCCCTTGCTTGAGCTGTTTTTCGCAGGCATATAATACTGGATTTGCTGGTGATGGTCTCAGTTTGCAGAAAGTTTGGTTCAAAATGAGAACAGGTCGAGTGAATTGAAAATATATTTAGATAATTCATAGATAGTTCCATCGAACAAATAGTTTTGAAATTCAAATGCAATGTTAAATTTTACAAACTTGTTTTTGTCATCTAGGAGCCTTGCACTCATGAGATGCAGAACACATTGTCTGAGCAGGCAGCGATCCTGTTGCGGGATCAACTTTTGAGTCTTTCTCCATCATATCAGTTTTTTGGGGAGCGTTGTGACCTTCACAATACCAAGCAACTTTTTCCATTCTTTCATTTGAGTCTGGCTGAGACGTCGATATCTTTTTTTCACCACTGACGTTGAGAAAAGGAGCCAATTCATTTGACTTGCGTCTCAGAGATGAAAAGTACGGCCGTTTGATATTATCAGGAGTGGAGTCTGAAGTATATGACTGGAGCAGCGGCCATGGAGTCTCGGAGCAGATGGATTCCACGCCATCTGGAACAATGCAGATGAAAGGAAAGGTGATTTATTTCAAGAGTAACATTGAGATCTCAATTTGATTAAGTCTTTCGTGAAACAAAGGTTATTTAGGGCTCAAAATTATCATGTAGTGTATGTAATCACAAACGCTGTTGTAGAAAAGTATTTACTGAAAACATATTTGTATTTATGACGGCAGCATTTACTGTACACACTGTTTATTTCTTAAAAGGTATTTTATGCGATGGGTAGGATTGTTTCAATAAATTTTCCAGTCATGATCCCAAAAAAGAAAAGTTAGAAATTTTTACGCATAGAAAATTTAAATTCCATTTCTTAATAGAATCAGAATAAAAAAACCGATATTTTACATGCTCTGCAATTTTCTACCTAATGCGCGATGGGCTCATCCCATCGCGTAGTATTATCCCATCGCGGGTTTGAAATAGGTTCGTTGACAGAGAAAATTCTGAGTTATTTCTGAAAATAGGTTATTAATTGAGTAGAATATCAGTTAAAGCTTAAAACGGATTCAGACGAGTAAAGCAACAAGGTCAACTTACTGCTTTCAAACAGTGGTATTGAAAAATTTGCAGAAATTAAAATTGCGTAATCACTTTGATTTTCGAATGGTTCCTTTATTTTGTATTCATTACATCGGCGAAATTTCTGACGCTAGGTTTTGTAAGATCAGATGAGATATCCATGAAATGAATAGAAGCTCAACACTGTAACCAAATAATTTTAAATGGATCCCAAGTTAGCGTAACAACTTTTAATGGTGATGTACATATCATGAGTTCATGCGCTGAGAGGAAATAGCTTTGCACTGTACTGTTTTTTTTTCGGAATAAGATATATATTTTTGAAGCAAATGCTTCATCACAGTGAATAATATTGTGGCGAATAAAATCGCTTTAATCTTTTGTTTTATTTGAAAATGCAGCCAAATGGGCGCAGCAATCTTTACTTATATTTGAATAATATGTAAGTGAGCTGTTCTGCAATGAATCTAATAAACAGAAATATGCGTATTGATGAAATAAATGCATCACAAGATATTCTGATGAAATGACGCGGTAACACTTGTCAGTATTCAATTGAATAAGTTGTCAAAATAAATCTCTCTTGTGAATTAGTCGGAAGATTAAATTGAGTTTTTAGTATTTCCAAACTTGCTTTTCCAAAAAAATAATTGCAAGCAAACAATACCGGTGATAGCAGCATTGTTTTATGAAAACTTGGTTCATTTTATTTAACGTTATAACCACTTACTTATAACATCTCGCAGTTCGAATTTTTTGTGCTGGACCTCATCATCGTCTCTATAGCCTCGAGGCGCCATGATCGTTAGAGCGCTCAGTGGCCTTGAATGGCCAGACTTCGTCACGTCCTCGCCTGATGCATGACACAAAAAAGCGGTCACTAGAAAATAGTTACAGCTCAACATTAGTAAAATTTTGTCGTCAGATACATTAATCCTCCTTAATGCTAATCGCGTCAAAATGCACTTTAACTTGAGTTACCATGAGTAAACTATGGTCAATCTCTATACACCATCGACTGCTGACATTTCACGGTAAATATGCCATAGATTTTGCATCAAAATAACACCTATCAGCTTGGTTAAACTGTCTCTTAGAATTCAAAAGAGAACTTACCCGTGAGGTCGGGGCTGGAGCGCCCTAAACAAGGCACGGCGTCGGGGTTGGAGCGCCCTAAGCAAGGCACGGCGTCGGGGTTGGAGCGCCCTAAGCAAGACACGGCGTCGTGCTGGAGCGCGGGCAGCTCGCAGACGCTGGGCGCGAGTGTCGTGTGTGTGGCGGCGCTGGCCGTGTAGCGCACCTCGATGGCGTGGCCGGCTACTGAATTTATTCCTTCACAAGAAAAGGATTCTTTGGATGATGAACTCTTCCTTTGCAGTCCTTCGGAAAGCGCTGCATTTTTCGAAGATTTTGAAAAAAATGTCATGTTTTTCAACGATTCTTTAGAAAATTGCTTATCGCTAGATGGCTCCTCTAAGGAAATACTTTTCTTAGATTCTTTAGAAGGCACTTGGGAGAGGTTGGAGGAGTCTATGATTGTTGAGGTTATGACTTGTTGTTGTTTTTGTTTACTTGCTGTTCCGTCGACTGACGTTGTCTTGAGTTCGAGTTTCCGGCGCCTTAGAAAATAAGTTGACACTGCAATCGCCAGCAAACCTGTAGAAACAGCCAATTCATCCTTAAAAAATATTAACGATAAGCCACAGAAACGAAATAATTGTTAGACGTTGAGTAAATGAATAACTAAGAAAGAAAAATGCCTGAACTACTGCATTGTTGATTCAATTATTTCATAATATTGACAGGGTGTATGTACAAGTGTGTTGATAAGTAAATTAACTGGTGTGTTAACTGACGTTAGCACAACTATAAAGACTGATCCTAGTATCCTGCGATGAGAAGACGCCTCGCCATAAATTTGGGAAGCGCTATAGGAATTGCATTAATGCTATGAATTTCTCCTGGGGAAGCAAGTTTGCTTTCCAGCAATGCAGAGTAGGCCTGATGATCTGGATTAACCTGAGAAGTTACACTGCTACTGGCAAAGTTTTGTTTTTACACAAAACATCCCGAACCTGTGTTACCCTGCTCTTTGTAGAAGAAATGAAGAGAATATTTTGTGCCGGTAAATGATTTTCCGTCATGATAAATGATTTCACTGTAAATTATTACCATACGAAAGTAAACATGAACATGGAACGATTTTAATAAATTTACAAGGTTTCAGGGATCATATTCAGGCTGACCTAAGACAGCAGCGAGGGAGAAGGTGAAGGCCAGCAGGACAGGCAGGCCGCCGAGGGGGAAGGCCAAGGGTCCGGCCTGCTGCTCACAGTTGTGGCCTGCGTAGCCGCTAGTGCAGGAGCAGTGGTAGCCTGTGATACGGGGCGGCAAGTGTTGATGTTGAAGAATGGAAGTGACGTCCACAGTATTAACTCTATTACTTGGTAGGTAATGAGGCATTGATGTTGGTAATGATTTGTAGGTAATGATGCAGACTCATCAATGATGTTGCGCATTGTTGAGTCTGACGTTTTATGTTATTTGATATGATTTATTTGTTTTCCTAATTTTAGAATGAAATCAAACGTGGGGAGTTGAAAATTTTAGGAACATCGAAAGAAGACAAGAAAAATGAGAAAAAGTTATTCGGAGGAGTTTTTTAAGTGAAAACGAATTAAATATTGCATTCATTGATCAGCAGAACCATTTCCATGCACATGAAGACGTGCACTAGCTTAACACAGCTTCTTGGAAAAAAACAGATAATTTGAATCAATGAGGAATAAATATGGACAAATTAAACCAAAGAAGACGATTTCCGTATGCCTAACAGTAACGTTCATCGTCTAACATGATAGGTTTACCTAATATTAAACCTTATACGCGAAATGTAAACTTTTAAAACTCCATTATTAAGTCATATTCGTCCTCAGAGTACAGTTGAGACTGTACCATGATACATAATTGAAGAAAACTCCACTACTGAGGGCGCATATGCACACGGCAGTCATACAAGAGTCTTTCTAAAAAGGCTGTTAAAAGGCTCCAGGTATGATTATTCTTTTGTGGATCACTCTCAGCCAGCCTTACATGGCTGATTGGAATTTACAAAGACGCTATTGCAAGAAGGTATTCAGCTGAAGGTCTATATTCTAACTCCCTCAATTTACCGTGAAACTTGTGAAGAAACATGGTACAATATCTCAAAGGAAATAGTTTCTCTTAGGCTTAACAATTCATGAATTTGTGCCGTGATTCCAGGTTTGAAGTCTATCTTTTCATGAATATACTCATTTAGGCACGTTTAGTGCTTGCAAGGCGGTGTGTCGTTTGGAGAGATGTACTATAGAATTAATGTTTGCATTTCAGTTCTGATGGTAGGAGTTACGCGTGCAGTTCAACAGGTGGAAGCTCATATCCCTTCAACCAAGTCTAGTTTGGCCGCTATAACAGCGTGAATGCAGCGCATGGAGGGATTGTCTTCACTTATGGCATTTTCTTCAGCATGCGGAGAAAATTATGGCTTATCTTAGGAATTTGTGGCTCCTAAATTTGAATACTGACATGCAATCCTCATCGTCCATTCTAAGACACAATTTTTTCATTGAAAAGGAATTCACAGACCATTCGTCGAGTTGCACACAAATTGAAGAATCCGATTCAAAGCGGCTTTTTCTGACATTCTAACAAAGCCACACGATCTTTCTTTAAGGATTTTTGCCTATCGTTTACCTACTAAACCATTATTATTACTTCCAGCACAACGTAAATTGTCACAAATTATTAAATATGATTTTTGGGATCATGTTAAGAATAAGCGCCCCATACGTTACTCGGGTGCGTAATCTTAAAGTTAATTGAATGAAAAATACAAGCAAATTAATTGTATTTAAACATTTTTTACGAATTATCATTCAATGTAGAAAAATACATTGCAAAACGTTAAATCCCAAATGATAAGCTGAACATCTTAGTCAAAGTATTTTGCTGCAATATGATCACATAAAGCTTCAAAAGCATTTCGATAGAAGCTTTTTTGCCACATGAATTCTTGAAAATATGAATATAGAAAGGAATAGATAGGATTAACAAAGTTATTCTACATGGTTTATTCTAGGGAGCGTTTTATCAAGAAGGATATACAAGGGTGCGTTTTCTTAACAAGTTCATACTAGGGTGTTTATTCTTAACAAGATCCGTTTTTTGTTGTCTTTATGGTTGGTGCTTTTGAACAATTTTATTCCAAAAGAGTCTGTTTGTCGAGTCAACGTCAACATGCAACTAGAAAATGAAAATAATACTGCATGATTACAGAATATACAGAAACTTAAAAGATCTATTGCGAGCTGAAGCTACCAAAAAACGAGGCTCATCGACATCAAGTGTGTTAACTCCGGCTCTACGGCAAGCAGCTAAACAACTCTCGACCTTAAGCCGCCGACTAACATGCCATCTACAATCTGGAGGACCCAAGAACCACATGCGGGAAGCTCACAATGAGACCATCACCCGAGCGACATTGGAAGCCTGCACCAGCATAGTTATGCGGTGCCCCGACCCATCGAGACTGATGATAGCTGAGGCTCTCATTATCAAGAGCGAGTCTCCAGCTATCAACCTCCAAACTACAGGATTCGTCCGGACGCTGAAATTATTTTCAGAGTAATTTTAAGTTTATACATTTTGTTGTATTCGCATTATTCATTTTATTGTATCCACTATACCATTCATATGTACTTCAGTCATTTCAAATTCAATTTCTAATGTTGTAAAACCTTCTCCAGCTTCATAATGAAAATTATATTTTCGAAACGTCGCAAACTATTAAAATGTCGTTCGGAAACCTGCTTTTCGATCTCCCGACGCCAGCAAGAAATTTGGTTCGACTCATTGAAAAAACGAACAAGAAGATTGTTAATAAAAAGCATGCTCTGGTCTTCAATCAAACTTGCATAAGAGAAAAGCTTCTGCCTAACTACACCAAGATTACAGAATATAATACAATTTCCCGCAGAAATCTGTGTCTTATTAAAATGAATAGAAATATATAATAACTTTCTCATGATGACCTTACCATTTTCTGAAATTTACTGTGAATCCATTCATTTCTTATGAATAGTTAAGTGATTAGAGTCGATGTTCTAACGGTCATTCATATCATGACAGAAAAGGTTGATTACATAATTAATAATTCAAGTTTAATGGACACCAAAGATTGATTTATTATGAACAAATACAAGATTGTTTAACTTTAGGTCAGGATATCCCATGCAATAACAATTATTCGTCACGAATCGTATTTTTAAACTCAAAAAGCTCCATTTCATCATGCAAATTGAGAATTTTTGACAGTGATAGTCAATTCTATGGTGCAAGTGATATATATCGATCCTTTCGAAACTTGGCATTCATACAAAATTTTCTGTTCGAGATAGTTCGGGAAAGACATATGGTAACCAATGCCGGGTGCGCAGCCTATAGGGCAAAATAGAAAGTTTCAACATTAATTTTCAATCTGGCCTCATGTAGCGTTGAGCCAGAGATGTAATACTCGTTAAATAATACATTTTCATTGTTGAAGCACCAATGCAAGGAATCAACTATTGAAACAAGATAATTAAGCATTCAATCTTAACCTGATCAGTTGAAAAAATCTTTCGGATAAAGTTTCATTACCTGGCACCGAGTTTGAGCACGAGGCGAAGTTGAGGCAAGGCTCGTAGCGACACTCGTCCACATCCAGACAGGAGGAGCCGTCGGGACTAAGCTGGAAGCCCTCGCCGCAGCTGCGGACCAGAGGGCGAAAAAACGCTTTTTAGACCACAAACCGAAGAGAGTGGCATTAGGCGTAATGAGGAGTAAACCTCTTCTGTGATCAAACGAACTCGAGTTCTGCATGAATATATCTGCTATCTGATGGACTGCATTTCTGCGGTTGTTTTCCGCAGCGCGCAAGTAGCGGCATCACTGGACGTGTGGAACATGACTGTGTTCAACTTCTAAGAAAACTCTTCCAGACATCAGTATTAATTCCTTGCTGGATATTCAATTATTACAATATATTTTACTGCATTTGTCACTTCCTATACACCATTACAAATTATAATTTTTATACTATGCTTTAAAGTTAAATACTAAAACATCTCCTTAAGAAATAAAACAGAAAAGTTAGACCAAACATCGGCTACCATGAATTATTCAGGGAGCGCAGGACGGAGGCCTCAATCTTTGCGAGCTACAAATAATGGGAAAAATTGGTGCAATTTTCGAGCGACATTTGTTCGTACCCGAGGAAATGATGCAAATAATTCGTTATTTCCTCAATTTTATTAGGAATAATCTGCGTGCAGCTGTTGTGAGTTGCTGCGTGCAGGAGCAGCAAAGCAAACCGCAATAAGAAGGAAAAAAGTGGAGCTTCTTGTTGCCTAAAGTAATTTAAGGTTGGTTTTTACCATGATCATAAATAACGCAATTTAACCAAAAAGTTGTTGCTTATTATTTTTACACCTCAGTTCCAGTCGACTTCAGTTAAAATTAATTCGATCGAGGACAAAAAATGAATTTCATGCAATGTATTGTTATGCATAAATATTATTGCATAATAATATATTATCATTGTACTGCATATTTTAAAAGCTAAGCATTTGCAGAGCTCATTAGAAAGATTCAGGGGCAATTCTATGTTGGGAAGTCATACATTTTCGAAGTAGACTCGAAAATTTTATCTCCAGGTTCTTGGTTGCTCGTCGTAGCATTTTCTTGTACATGCAAAGTTCTAGTAAGAATCTGCACAGATTGAATGACTGTAGAAAAAATCGCCAGATTTTCCATCTTGCATTCGTTTATGCATGGCGAATTAAAACCCCTTAATAATTCTGCATCGCGTATTTGTTGATACATGTAGACTAAGACTCGTTTATAATTTTATTTCATTCATTAAGTGATGCAAGATATATTAAATTTATGATCCAAAGTGTGACTGAAATCGAGATCCGATTGTGAGGCGGATGAACTTATCTGCATTTCAATGTAATCTTTGTAGCAATGTGAACTTGGGTTAATTATATTTACATCTGAGCCTGAGTTAAGTATATTTACATGTGAGCTTGAGATAACTATATTTACATCTGAGCTCAAGTTAACTTTATTTACATGTGAGCTTGATTTAACTTGAGAATTTTTGAGCTTGAGTTAAGAGAATTTTTTAATGGCAGTACGACCTCTCTTCGTTTTAATCTATGAATCGTATCTTGTACTCCAACTTGTTGCTGGGAATCAATCACGAATCGCCAGTAATAAAAAAATAATCCTTAACATGGAAGCAACAAATAATAAATTTATGATGACTGAACTTAAATGCAGAACGCTGGTGCTAAATTAATGTCATCAGAGTTTTGAGCACTGAGCGCGATGTTAAGCATATCTAGGGCTTTGCGCTAAAAATTTTTGTGATGGATAGATGTCATGTATGAGTAAAAAAAAAAACAATAAATGCGCATCGGTCGCAGAAGAGTAACGATGGTTCATTTCTCTATGCGAGGTGCTGGAGCTGAAAAACTTATAATTATAATCAACATCTGTTGATATTGGCTCTGCAGGGCAATGCAAACTAATTTAGAGTATCTCCTTAATATTTTACCTTAGACTTCTGAATGTTTCAGGTAATGGATTAAAATTATATAAGATTAGTTATATAGCTATTAATTTGATGAAGATTACCTGCTTCAACGCCCAAACTTTTTTCTTCATTATTCAATGTACTGAAAATTTTCGATCATGAATGCAGAATGAATGATATTTATCATGAAGTAATAAAATTCAGAATTTTAAATATTGTTAACATTTAATGTACGGAAAACTTGCATTTATGATTTGAGAACTTCTAGTAGATGTGAAATTATACATTGTTAAATCTTTTAATTATACTGAGCTATGAGCTACCTGTGTAATTTCCTACCTCTCCATTGAGTCGTATATTCCTGAGACATCCTTTGAAGTAGGATTGTTTACCGCCATTATTCTCGTGCAATGCATCACTGGAACTTGCGTCCATGGCTCCGAGTTGCAAAGGCGCGCCTCTTGTGTTGAGTTGTCCAGTCAAATCTTGCGCGTGCACAGCATTTCTGCAGTAGAATTGTTTGGACGGGCCGGGCCCGCGGTCTGCTTCTGTTGTATTTTCAGGGGGCTGTCCTACGCAGTTGTCGATGATCATCTCAACTGTCTGGGGATTATGTACCGATTCATTGTGTAAATTAATGATTTTATAAAAATTATGTATAGCCTAATATAAATCAAATGATTAAACAATTTCAATGTATTAGGAAAGAAAATTTTTGTAAACATTTCCATCAATCACGAAATATTATGCATTGAAAAACGATAATTGAAATGATAAATTACTATAAAAAATTTTTGAATGTGATTCACAGAGAGAGTTCATTTGCTAAGCTTTCAGTGGGAATAGCAGTGCACAGCGTAATTTCCAGATTACAAAACTTTTACTAGCGCTTTTTTTGGAATTCAGAGCGTGTCTCAGAATGATTGTTGCTTTGAAGATGGAACGAGAAAAATACGGTATAGTTGCTGTTATCAAGATGGATCGAAAAAATGGTTCTGTCTTCAAATTGGTCCTGCAATTACAATGGTGGTATTGATATGAATACAGTTAGAGCAATTATAACTAGTAAAACTGATTGCAAACGCCAATGAAAGAATGATTAGAAATGAAAACTTGAATTAATCGAAAACACGTACTTTATTTCGCCAGAAAATGTCCACACGATGCCACCGTAGGTCTGCTAGAGAAGTATTGACGCTCACGTCAACAGCGGCCGAGTTGAGGGACAAACGAAAAAGCGGCTTTCCTTCTGTTAGTTGAAGTACCAGACCCACTCTCCTATTTCCATAGCAGCAATGTCGTGCCACATGCCGTCATGCAGGGTTGACGTGAGGCAGACAGAGGCTAGTTTAGCGTGCTGGCGGTGTAGTGTCAGACATGGGCGGCCTCCTCGCAGTGCCAGCACCAGATGTTCCAGACCTCCAACAGACCTCAGCGCCACCACCAAGCTGTTGCTCTGCCGGGTGCGCAGCCTATAGTGCAAAATAGAATGTTTAATTAATCATTTTAAATCTGGCATCATATGGCGTTGAGCCAGACATCTAATACTGTTGAGCTTTCCGAGTAGTTTTGAAATTTATAGGAAAATTTCGCGAGAGGCTCCATCGGCTTAAAGATAATCATCGAAAAATTAATTGATAGCCTCTTACATGTACCTAATTTCAATTCAAAAGTGCATAGTGAGATTTAGCAGGAAATGCTGCAAATTCGAAATTTGCTGTAAACTATGTAGCGACTGCAAAATCTTCAGTTACTTTGAACCAGTTCCCGAATCAGTTTTATTCGTTGCGTTCATGAACGATCAACCAGAAGCAACTTGAAGCCGCTGGTCCATGCATGTTGATGATTACAAAGTTTCTACATCAATTAATGATACGTCATTAAAAGTTGTACTGCTAGAAGAATTATTGATATAGATTAGTTGACTGGGTTGGTACATGGTCCTGTTGGCAGTGGCTTTAGAAACTAACAAGCGTGCTTCGTCTCGGTAAAAATATTCAACGGCAAGCTTAAGATACGAGAAAACAAAATCTTAACGATACACTGATGCTTGGGGAGTCGACAGTGCACAAATAGGAGTTATGTTGACATGGATGTGTGTTTTTCAAACACATCGGAGCGCAAAGGAACTGAGGACTAGATGAGGATTAAACCTATTAGAGGTAAAAGTTCGAATCATTTTTCATTTAACGTCAGTCGTTCATCGATTTGGCTAAAATACAAAGTTTTTGGCATATCAAAAACAAGCCATAAAAGTCAAGGACGTTTGGAGAATCGTCGACAAATTTGAGACGGCCTAATCTTCAATTAATCTCCAACGTTTTTTTTCCGATAGTTTATAAGATCTTATTCGGTCATTGGCGTTTCGAAAGCGTTTAATGCCTACATAACTAATGATTTAACGCGCCACGGATTCATTTACAGAATTCACTTGTAATATATATGAGGTTGCAAGTGATGAGGTAAATGTGGTAATCATTTCCTATACGTCAATGATTATTCGGCTCACGTTTCTCCGTGTGGCACTCATCGCTCATAAATCGCTGACGCGGCGCAACGCTTGACTTGACTTGCACAGCTGCCAACAAGCTCTTTAGTAATGGTACTAATTTCATATTACAATAAATATTTTATTGCCCAATACTAGTTCCTTCGTTTGGTTCAGTTTTTATATTTTATGTCAACACTCATGATTTTATAACTGTCCGGTGACAGCCGAGTAAGACCGCGAACCAAAATTGTTGTCTTTGTCTTCACTATTTGAGCCGGAGTCAACGGAGGGGCGCGTATTGGGACGTACCGTAAAGTTATGGACGAGGTTTGTTCGGGCAGCTGGAAGAGGAGAGCAATCTGAAGGAAACTGTTCGCTGAAAAGCTCGTGGGCACAGTTTTGGTGGAGCAGTCGTGGCCTGACCAACCAAGTTTACACTCGCACGTTTCATCGCCAGGAGATCCTTCGCAGCTGCCGACAAAACAAAACGCATGTGTTGAAATTATACGCTAGGGTAAGTTCCTTGAGGTGGTCGTTGCATCTCAGCATTGATTAGACAAATAAATTCATCGACGTATTGCAAATAAAACTCATTTAGTGGCCTGGACTAGCAAAGGTGATAAAAAACGTCATCATCAATACTCAATGAGGCTTTACATTGCAACGCTACATGTTGTAAAATAAAGTAAAGAAGAACGTCGCATGCTGATCATACCGTTTAATTTTTAATTGATTTAGTATGACATTTAATGCAACGTTTAATTTAATTGCATAATGTTTAATTTAATTGATTTAGTATGACATTTAATGAATCAATGACATTTAATGCAACGTGAAAAATTATACTTTATTGTATGAAAACCTATTGATCACTATGCGTGCATAGTGATCAATGCATCAATCTGTGCGGTACACAATGAATAGCACACAAGATGCTCACAAAGGCTAGTATATTTGATGCAAATAAAGATTTTCCCTTAATAAACTGAGCATCTGATAATGATATTGTCCCTTAAGCGTCTAGCTGAAGGTATAAGTCGCCTTTCAAAGAATTTCATGTGAAAATCTCCCTATAAATATGGCGATGCTATTGCGCTCTCAGACACGTTCGGAACATGTCTTAGATTGGCTCGGCAGCAACTAACAAAGAAATTGCGTCTCACCCTTCAGTGCTCGACGTGCTTAACTGGGATGTAGCAGTGATTTTTATCTGCCCCACAAAACATTTTTTTCGGCACTATGGCTGGCAAACCAGTTGAGATATCGCAAGAAAAGTTATCTGCTTGTTCGGTAGTGCTTCATGAGTTATTTTGGATGTTTATTAGTGCATACTGGCAGTTTTAATTATTCTTGCATTATATTTTTTTAATACGCCTTATATGTACAATCGAGCTCACGAACCCTACGTGCGAAACGCGCCACATATGTCCTGTCGAGCGTATGACACTGTAATGCAGCTCCAGAACATAACTATTTGTTTGATAGTCGGTAATTCCTCGTAGTCATAACTCTGGTAATATAATATTCCCTGTTGATTTTAATATGGTCGCGGGTTCACTTCATAATTTCGTTTGCAAATTACAATGCTTCGTTGAAATATTAACTGAAGTAAACAAACTGGAACTGATTAGGTTTTTGAAACTAATCAATCTTACATAATTGCTTGCTATGTTAGCGGTGAGAGTTAGCTGAACGTATTGACGTATTTCTTGTTCTATAGAATCGTTTACTGGAGTCCAATTAAATTGTTTCACTCAAGCAGAATGCGTCAAAGCAAACTAGAGCGACACATCACTACTGCCCCTCCTATACATAGGGACTGAAAATACAATTGATTTGATGATGACAGTGTTCTTGATCAAAACTCTTTAGTCTGTTAGAGACTGTTACCCATGAGAAGAAAGTCATCGAGACATTGAGAATGAACCGATACTGTAGTTCAGTCCTCTGTATTTAAATTTTTTTAAAGAACCCACTAAATATTTCCCATAAGGATGTACTTTATTTTTAAGGATGTACTTTCCCACAAGGATGTACTATCAGCAAAAGACATTTTTCGATAAAAATCAAAAGCCATGTACGTGACAGTTCGTGCGCACGATTCAAGCGCTAAAGGTCGTGCGCTATTGGCATACATTTGACAAAGTCTTACGTAACAGTCCTACACTGCAGGGAAGATAGTGCCCAGCAGTCCTACACTGCAGGGAAGGTCATACCCAACAGTCCTACACTGCAGGGAAGATAGTGCCCAGCAGTCCTACACTGCAGGGAAAGTCGTACCCAACAGTCCTACACTGCAGGGAAGATAGTGCCCAACAGTCCTACACTGCAGGGAAGGTTGTGCCCAACAGTCCTACACTGCAAGGAAGGTCGTGCCCAACAGTCCTACACTGCAGGGAAGGTTGTGCCCAACAGTCCTACACTGCAGGGAAGGTTGTGCCCAACAGTCCTCCACTGCAAGGAAGGTTGTACCCAACAGTCCTACACTGCAGGGAAGGTCGTGCCCGGCAGTCCTACACTGCATGCCGAGAGTGCGTAGCAGTCCTACACTGCCTACCGGGGAGTGCGTAGCAGTCCTACACTGCATGCCGGGAGTGCGTAGCAGTCCTACACTGCATGCCGGGGAGTGCGTAGCAGTCCTACACTGCAGACCAGAGTGAACGTAACAGTCCTACACTGCAGTCCAGAGTGAACGTAACAGTCTTACACTGCAGTCCAGAGTGAACGTAGCCACGTAACTCCTCTTCGTGTACTCAACTCCTCAACCGATGATATTATGAGTTGATATGAAGAAAAATAATGAATCAAGATTCGACATAGAAATCTAAAGTAGACAGCTAGAATAAAGCATTGTTGTTTATAATATATTGCGGGTTCTAGCGGAATTTACTCACAGAAGCTTCAGTTTCAGTAAACCTTGAGAAGCTCATGGAGATGACATGGTCGCTGCTCTGCGACATTTCAGTTGAAATCAGATTGCTGCACCGAGACACACTATCAGTGTTCTACGTAACGGTGTTCTACTTACTCATTTACTCTGTTGTAGATGATATAATTTATAAATGGGCATCAGGCGCACTGTTATATATCAGGCGCACTGTTATAAATGGGCATCAGGCGCACTTTATGCCATAGGTAAAAACTAAAGAAGCAACTGCAGCGAAGGTATTTAACATCCTAATTATTCGCAAGCTTTGTAAGTTTGTAAATTTCTATGATTTCCAGAGTTCAGTGAAATAAATCACATCGTGTAGGGCTCATTTCTTGTCTACAGCTGTTCTGGAAGAAGCGTTGATGGTTTCTCTGTACTAATTGCTGTCATAAACATTTACTGTTTAGTTTGGAAAACAAGTGGCAGTCGATTATGTGATAGCAGAAAAAGTTGAAACTATTTAAGTAAATTTAATTTGTGTTAATGCTAAACTCTCGACAGCACAATAAATTCAGCGTAACGCTAAATAATTTTTTGCTTGCCTCTGCGATATTGCGCTCTGAGATTCACATGGAAGCGTTATCGCGATTTTAAAAAAATTCGTTATTGGGGTCACACTCATAGATGCTAATATATAGAATAAAATTATCTATTTATCATTAATTTTCATTTGAGGAGATTGATCAGAGTTGAGCCCTATCTATGTTAAGGTTATTTTGCAACTGCAATTATGTACCTAAACTGAAGTATTATATACTTTACTGTTCATCCTGTAATTATTGTAAATTAAACTAAAGTTATTGTGAATCTACCAGTTGGATAAAGAACGTTAAGATGGGGGTCCTACACTATTAAATTCATTATACTTTTCTTTCCTATTTAGTTTAATTAAAAATGACTTAACTTAATCTTTCCGTAAAGAAACGTTCCAGGAGATGGGGTTTTCATGAACCAATTCCCTTCACCAATTCCGCAATAATTCTGTTCGATATCTCAACCAATCCATTGCATTGTGATCTGAATCCAGTTGAAAACATATGGATAATATTCCTTTCCGGCAGCATGCGTTCAAATTCTGAGGACCTAAATTCTGGACCATTATCACTCGGTATCCGGTTGGGTAGCTTCACCATAGCCGGAAAATTAGATTAGTCATAGCAGCACATGCGGTCGTTGCCTTCTTATCTTTCAGGGGTACAGCGTAAAGGAACTTCGACAAATGGTCTACACATGCCAAAATTGCGACATGGCCAGACGTTGATTTTCTTTAGCATGATATAAATTGCAACCAAATCATATATGGAGAATTAGCAATTATTTTAACAATTATTTAACAGTAGGAGGTGTCTTCAATTGGGATGAAACTTTAACTAATTGGCAATGCTTGCACGTACGAGCAATATCACGAACTATTTTCTTCATTAATGGGTGATAAAATTTATCCAAAACTAAGTTTAACAATTTATGCTTGCCAATATACTGCGCTCCTCACCACGATGGTCAAGTGGCTAGCGATGCGTCTTGGTAGTCGCTAGCCCAGGGTTCGATCCCAAGCACCTCCTGAGACGCGGTAGACACAACTGTATCCTGCACATCTACTGCGCCCCTGAGACGCGGTAGACACGACCGTATCCTGCACATCTACTGCGCTCCTGAGACGCGGTAGACACGACCGTATCCTGCACATCTACTGCGCTCCTGAGACGCGGTAGATACGACCATATCCTGCACATCTACTGCGCTCCTGAGACGCGGTAGACATAACTGTATCCTGCACATCTACTGCGCTTCCAACACTCAAAAGAATGAGTGAGACTTGGTCCAAAAAGCGATGCAATTCTTGGCCATGATTTAATTGGTCTTCCTGACCCAGTGCGGCCCTGCGATGTGGTGTATTGGTGCTACTTGCCGAAGGTGCGACTCCATTTGGACAAAATGACCGATTCGTTCCTCTGTGCGTAACCTCCTTGCGTAGCGCGTGAATGCAACTGAGGTGCATAGTCAATATATTTTATATGTGATTTTGGGCGGGGGTGGGTAATCCACAACTTTTTATTTCGTTCATATATTATACTGAATTTCAAGTAATAATACTTTATAGTTGTCTTTCATTATGGAAATTACTTTGGTCCGGGAGTGCGATGAATGAATATGGGAAGTGCTTTTTGTGTATTTACTGGATATCTACCAAAATATGAATTTTCTAGCGCTGCTGAATGAAGTCAACAGATGGAACTGTGAGCACAATGCCCCAGGGCTCATAACCATGCAATTCCCTTGGCCTTAACTACGCCGTTCACATTTTTGCATTTGAATAAATTTGTTTTTAAACTTGCCCCTAAAACCCACAAATGCTCTAACTCACGGCTGCTGAGAGCAACCACTTCACAGACTGCGAAAAGTACACTATACTGATGGTAGGCGCAAGAGCCTCCGAGGAGGTGCGCAAGCACTAGTTCAGTTTCATGAACGATTGCTAATTTTTTTCATTGAGTAAGTAACAAAATATGTACCGCCTAATACAAGTTTGTCTGGCTACGATTTGCTACGTTGGCCATACGCCACCCACCTGGGTTCTGTTCAATGCAAGATGATTTACCTACCCAATACGGCAATTATTATCACATTAAATCAGATAGGAGACATTTAATACTCTGTATTGGAAGCTATCATTAAATAATAGTAGCACGCGGTGGCAGGTATAGCTAATTCCTTCACGTGGTACTTGATCACAAAAAGTCTGGGATCCATTGGCCCAAGACCTTCTGACTCTCTCCCATACCTAGACTCTTCCCCCTCTCTCTCCACCTACAGATTTTTCCTTCCCCTCTCAACCTGACTGCAACCTGACTTCTCATCCCTCCCCTCTCCACTTACAGACTCTTCCCTCCCCTCTCAACCTGACTACTCTTCCCTCCCCTTTCAACATGAAAACTCTTCCCCGCCCCCTCTTTTGTCAAGACCCACCAGTTCTTGATGGCCTCAATGGTGAAATTAGCCTTCCAGCCTCTGTTATCTTTTGGTTTGACGGACCTGACGTGTAGGATCAAATCGTTCTCCTCGCTCTTGAACACTTGACCTTTCTTGATGTCCTCACCGCAGAAGCTGGAGAAGGCAAGCATATATGAGGGAAATGCTAAGGTTTAGACTATTTATTGAATCATTCCACCGACCCTGGTTTTTATCAAGTTGCAGCGTTGTCGTACAGTTTTCCACTTGGGAGCTGTTCTTGCAAAAAAATCCATGAGAATTGTTACGCAATTTAAATAATTTCGTAATGAAGCATCGATTTATCAATTTCGTTTTCAATTCTAATGAATAATATTTCGAAGTGCAATGAACAATTGTCCATAAAATGTAGCCAGGGGAAATATCTGGTTTCATGAAGAAACTTTAGTTGCAAGGCAGTATTCAAGAGAACATATAGTAGGCCACAGGCTCTTTTTGACTCGGCCACAGAATTAGAAGCCTCACCTACGCTGGAACTCCCTAATATAGACTAGTGACGAACTGCTCAAAGATATTAGTGCCTTATGGCTTCAGCCAATACTTGAACATGCTCGTTCATAAGCAAGCAGTTCTGCAACCAACCTCACCTACTCCAGCCTAACTCCTTCTGGCCTAACTTATTTACGCTGTCTCGACTCATAACTTCTTTCCAAACAATAACTGGCTCTATACCTACTCTCTTAAAGCGCCTCTCTAGCTTTCTGCAGCGAATGAGGTTGGGTTAGGTCCGCTCAGGTTTGTTTTGGGAAGTGAAATGTTGCAAACTTTCAACGTGTGTAGGTTAGGACAGAAGAGGCTAGGCCGGGAGGGTTTAGATTAGATGCAGTATAGATATGCTTAACTTGAGCCTGCTTAAGCAGTGGTTGTGGACATCCGACTCAGTGTTTTAAGCAGTTGCTGCTATGTTCTCTAGTGAGCTTGGGTTGGTGAAGTGTGAATTTGGGCAGAGCTGGCCTCCGTATTAAAGATAATCATCATACTTATCGTAGTCTCCCTTGAAGAATTTAGTTCGGATTTCGAGCGCATCTCTCATGCATCGGCCATTTGTGGAGCGTCTTGAAAGCTGGAAGTCCTCGAAGGTGAGCACAGCGCGCTTACACTTGTCCGCCTTCAGCACCAGGGTGTACAGTCGCCATGCTGGAAATGTTATGTATTCCTGTGAAATCTTTTATATAGCACTTTTTATAGGGTAGTTGAGATTTAATAATGAGGGAATTTTGCAAATGAAAATATAATATTGAAATTGAACAACAAAGTGCATAAAACTTGTGCTACTAAAGTAAGAGGAATGATCGTAATCCAAAACATATTCTAGTCATTAAATCATTCCTGCTAATAAGATCAGGGAAAGTGAACTCACTGTTTTCTTCGGCTTTAGGGTAACCAATGGTCTTCACCACGGTATTGGGCTCCGTGATGTCTTGCGTTTCTGGACTTTTCATTTTGATTAGGGCGTCTGTGAACAAAAATATTGTAAAATGTGCGCAGCTCTTTTAAGCGCATTTTCTCATTTATGAAAAAATGCACTATTGAGCTCGCCATGTCCGTTTGTCCGTCCGTCTGTCTGTCCGTCTGTCTGTCCGTCCGTGACTTCACGTTTTCGTCGACGAGAAAATGCGCTTTCTGTGACTCACTGCAGTGAGTACTGAGTTATATTTTTTTCTCGTTTGTTGTAACTAGATCCTTATAACATAAAGCTTTTTTCGTAAAGTAAAAGGTGGCTACGGAAACCATTTTACCTTAAGGTAGAACTCTAATAACATATGAAGGTGGAAGTCATCCAAATATCGTTTGATGTCGACCTGGGAAATGACCCAGGAAGTGAAAAATGACAAACCCTTGCACTTCAGAAACGATTGATCGAAGCTTGATTATTTATTATTGATAATTATTTTATTGACTAGAGTAGCTCAATCACCATGGCTATCACAGGTCATGGTAACTCAAACCGCAAGAGGATTTTTATCGCTGTCACTCAGTCACTCTAATGTTTGGTAAAATTGTATACGTTTCTTCAGCTAACAAATATTATGATAATGACAATTATAAGTGTGTATTCTTGATAAATACATGGTAAAAAATGAATCCTAAAATAAAATAAATAAGTAAATAAATACGTTGAATCACAATTTGGTGTGAACACCCATACTGGCATCCCTCGTACCGTTGTAGCTCATCTCGAGTGTCTCGCAGTTGTCCCCTTTGGTCCCCGGCGGGCAGACGCACTTGCAGGAGGCGCCAAGGTATCCAAAACCATTTAACCTTGAAGTAGAACGCTAATAACATATGAAGGTGGAAGTCATCCAAATATCGTTTGATGTCAACCTTACCAAGAAAGTGAAAAATGACAAACCCTTACACTTCAGAAACGATTGATCGAAGCTTGGTTATTTAATGTTGATAATTATTTTAATGACTAGAGTAGCTCAATCACCATGGATATCACAGGTCATGGTAACTCAAACTGCAAGAGAATTTTGATCGCTGTCACTCAGTCACTCTAATGTTTGTTAAAATTGTATATATTTCTTCAGCTAACAAATATGATGATAATGACAACTATAAGTGTGTATTCTTGATAAATACATGGTTAAAAAATAAATCCTAAAATAAAATAAATAAGTAAATAAATACGTTGAATCACAATTTGGTGTGAACACCCATACTGGCATCCCTCGTACCGTTGTAGCTCATCTCGAGTGTCTCGCAGTTGTCCCCTTTGGTCCCCGGCGGGCAGACGCACTTGCAGGAGGCGCCAAGGTATCCCTGGTTCAGGCATGGGTCTTTATTGTCCTTGCCGCAGTTCTTCAGGTTCAGTTCTGATCACAGAGTGAGATTTATTCTAGTCGCTGCAAAATTCTGATACTAAGTTTCAAGCCAAGTATTCGCCAGGACGTGTGCAAGGTATTATTACTCGTATATCTTTCATAATACAGAATGCAGTAGTCACAGTCAGTGGCTTGTTTATAAACTCACTGTCGCAGCTGAGTATGCGGTTCACAAGCTTGAGGTTCATGAACGACAAGTGTCCATCAGAGGACCCCATTTGGTACTGGAACCTCACGTCCTTCGTCAGCATGTAGCGTGGATTGGTGTCGCTAAACTGAAGTAATATATTGTGTTGTTAGTTCTAAAGTTATTAGGCTCAATCGAGCTTAACTTTGTTGTTCAACAGTAACTATATCATTCAGTAAGAATTTAATTTAATAATCTTATTGATATTTTCAACACTTTCATAGTATAATATTGACTATATTAGCTGACAATTATAATTATCATTGTAAGATGATGATATTAAAGTCTGTCAACATCATATTTATTTAGTTTGGAGATTTAAGCATCACTGCGCCTCACAGCGTTTTTTTTGCAATAATTTGCCAAAAACATCACAGAAAAATAATAACAGAAATTTTATTATTTGATTGCCAAAATTATAGAGCTTTTAATTATAGTAAAGAGTTAAACAACTAATTAATATATGTCAACGTTATTGTACGCGTACCCATATAGCGCTGGAAAAATTCGTACCTAGCCCCAGGTTTGTGAAAAAGTGAATGAGATGTGCAGTTATTTTCATTTAAATCGACTTGGAATTGCACTATTTGTGAGTACTCATTTAACCGTACGCCTACTTTGTAAGTACGCCTGCTTTGCTGCTGCGTCGACCTCGTGCATCACATACAAACCAACGATGCACTACGGAGAGCTAGATCTTTGTGTTATATTAGACACACTAGCGCAGCGTTCATGGCAACACGCTTGCAATACTCGCATGCTGTGTTTTGGCACGCGGTGTGTTCCATTTGTAAATATGAACGGTGGAGCTTTCACATCACACACGCACTGCGTTCTCAGCGGCTCACTTGCGCTGCTGATTTCCTTGCGCTGCAAGAACATCAAAACGCCCATATTGCGTTATTTGATGAACATCAAAACGCCCATATTGCGTTATTTGATGAACATCAAAACGCCCATATTGCGTTATCTGGTGAACATCAAAACGCCCATATTGCGTTATCTGGTGAACATCAAAACGCCCATATTGCGTTATCTGATGAACATCAAAACGCCCCTATTGCGTTATCTGGTGAATATCAAAACGCCCATATTGCGTTGAGGTTTATCTTTCAGTTCTATTCCATCGTGGCACAGGGGGAAATTAAGGAGGGACCGTTTTAACGTATTTCTTATATTTGGCTGTACATGCGGCGGATGGTATTAGGCACGTAACAGTTACCGCCCTAAAGTCATCATAAAATTTATTGGCGTTATTGTTCGCATTATTCATATATCTTTTGTTAAAACTGAAAAAAACTGAGCATATTGCGGTTATTTTTCGCGGTAGTCGAGCATATATACTGCGTCCACAAGTCGCTTACACGCGATGAAAGGATTAGCTAATAGTATTAGCGGCTTGTAATTTCCATTTCAAATACAAGGCTAGCTTTTCTTCAAAAGAAATAGCTTGGAGCAGGTGCTTGCAGTCAAAGCGATTTGGTTTTTATTACGGAAAGCGACACCAGTGGGGCTACAGCAGCCGTGATGTGCCACTGAGTGAGTGCACGAAAAGTCCAAGATGCTCGACACCCTAACCAATATAACTCGACATAACCTCGATAACTCGACATCCTAACCAATATTTTAAATACATACTACGTTGATAGATAGAGTTTCTACGGGTGCGCAGCCGTAGACCAGCAAATTAACGCTCAAATCAGCCCTGGAGCCAACATCAACCATCTAAATGCTATAGATATTGTCATCCTGGCACCTATGCAGCTGTAGTCAATTGACCTATCTCACCACACGAACTTTAAACCAACACTGCTTCAGCACACGAGCTGCTACTCCACATAGTTAACGGTCAATACGTTGTTCTCCAATGCTTTATAACCCATATACCATCACTTCTTAAGCCCCGTAAAACAAGCTGCCCCCTACCTTAAACAAGACAATATACAACACGACACACCAGAACAAAAAGAACCCATATTCCGTAAACACTGGCAAGACATATTCACTCAGGACGACATAAACAATGAAGATTTCGACACTGAACACATCCGTACTATACACGACCACGTAAACAACAATACACATCTCATTCATCCATCTAATCGCGGAAACCTTACCCGACTCCACCCAGTGGATTTCCCACCCATAAATATCAAAGAATTACAGCGAACTCTGAAAACATTTCAACAGAAAGCACCAGGACCCACTAGCATCACTACCCTTCAGCTTAAGCATCTCCCCATAAATATGATACACTATCTGCTATACATATACAACCATTCCATATCAGCCGGATATTTCCCAGACTCACTCAAACGCGCCATAATGATTTTCCTCCCTAAACCCAATACCTCACAACACCAAGTGCAAAACTACAGACCGATTTCACTATTAGACATACAAGGAAAGCTATTAGATAAAATACTAAACAATAGACGATACGAACCCCTCACAATTAACAACATTCACAATACTAGACAACACGGTTTCAGGAGACACAGAGGTACTCACACAGCATTAGCAACTTTCCATGAAACACTCGCGATACACATATCCCAAAGACATACCACAGGCATTGTGCTCCGTGATGTGACCAAGGCCTTCGACAAGGTCTGGCACACTGGACTCCAATACAAACTAATGCAGCTCAACCTCCATCCCTCCTTTACAAAAACACTAGCAAACTACCTCACAAATAGAACAGCTTCGATCAGAATAGGACACCACATAGGTCCCCCCCTACATTTGCACACTGGCGACCCACAAGGAGCCTGTCTTTCACCCACCCTATATAGCTTCTACACCCACGACCTTCCCCCACCACTTCCCAATACAGAATACATAGCTTTTGCCGATGACATCACACAAATAACAGCCGGACGTTACCCACCTAAATACGCAGCAAAACAAACACAACACGCAATCCAGCAGATAAATTCATTCGAAAGAAAATGGCTCATCAGAACGAACACTAACAAATTCAAAATCATCCTTATTTCAAGGCGAAAAACATCAGACATATTCATCGACAACACCCACTATCCCTACACAAATAAAGGAACAGTCCTAGGACTGTCTCTTATACACATCTAGATGTGTATAAGAGACAGCTCAAGCAACCTCCACAAACCCGGTTTATTCAACCTCGGATACGCTTTTCTCAGATCCAGCAGTCTCGCCACAGGCCACTCTTCTTCATTCATGCCCCCATTCTCATTCAGTTCCATTCTTCTCTTCAAATCAACCACATCCTCTTGCATCCGAACCATCATTTGCACCACATCCGCTGTCGACCTGCCCTTTCGAAAACCTGCCTGCTCCTCATCCAACAGTCCCAAATACTCAGCCCACCACGCCACTCTCTTCGCTATCACCCTCGCAAGTATTCTGCTCCCCATACTCAACNAGGTGTGAACCCCGCGTCACTGTTTCCCTGCCTTACTATCCCCCAGCATCTTCTTCCCCCCACACTTACCCCGACTTTCCACTTTACCGCCATGGCTAACTGGAGGCATTCCTCGCAGACCTTCAATGCTTAACCGAACTAGGTTAGTTTAGGTTAGGTCACAACTCGTATAGATCCTCTTTTCATAACGTAAGGCAGTCAAGTTAGCAGAAACTACGAAAAGCCGTCCTGCAGTCGGTGCGAAAAGGCGGGGAGACGGGGGTAAGCGTGGAGGTAGAGTTATGCTGGGGGAAAACAGCTGCGACGAACGGACGGGCTGGAGTGCTGGCTGTGAATCAACAGCGGTATGGCGTAGGGAGTTGCCAGACTGTTGCCTACCGAAAATAGTGAGGAGGTTAAACGACATGGGATAGAGCTGTTGGACGGTTTTAAGACGGCGTAGAGCGATCGTATTGGTGGCTTACCTCTAATTAGCTCGCTGGTTCATTTCCATGAAGGGGATTTGTACCTTTGGCTTTTAACATATAATCCCTTAGTCTACTCTGCCCTTTAGCAGGCTTACGCACGGAAAGGTTTATGAAAGAAATGCTGGTCTTGGGCAATGCTGGCCTCTGGCATGCATCCCGTTTTTGCCTCCCCAACTAGGGTTGTAACAATTTTAACAACAGGTTCATCAATAGCTTCCTTAAATTCGCCATTACTGTCACGCTCTAAATTCTTTCACCGAGCACAGACTTCACACGACGGCCCCTAAACGACACACAGGCACTTGCAAGTTTCAACTTTTCAAGTTGTGGTTGGGAGTTGCCATAATTTACAGGTAGAATTTTTGGGTTTTGTCTGCGCTTCTTGTCAAATATAAAAATGAAAAATCATACTTCAAAACACCATTCACAGAAACGACTCGTGTGAATTATCTGCACACGGGTATTGCACATACACTGCATGATGGAGTTTTATCGATTACATTGAAGCATACCCTACTACACCTTGATACTTATTACTCACACCATATGTCACAGGATGCCATAAATTAACGGTGACATTTATGATTTAAGTATAAATGTAACTACATACCACGTCGTAGTACTGCAGGACGGAAGAGTAGTCGTACGGCACATCAAAATTGATAGTTGGACGTTTTTGGTAATTTTGGCGGATTGTCTTATTCGGGAAGTTGTCACCGATGACCACCAGATAGTCGTCCCTGCTCAGCATTACTGATTAATCGACTGCCTACTTCTTTAAATTATTTAATACTACGGAAAATTGTACACCTGATTCGGTATTAAGAATTAAGACAACATCACGGGCAATGTATCCATAAATCTGGATCATGTAAAAGATAGATCTGGATGTGACCTCCAATCTATGTATGTCACATCACGAACAATGTACATATACATAGATCTGGATCATGTAAGATTGATTCTATAAATCACCACTTCTTAGAACAAACAACTCATCCCATTCTCGCTGTCTATCCAAACAATGCTTAATTCCATCACGCCGCGGCCGCAGCTCACAGCTGTCACGCACGCCACCCCAACTCACCCCACAGCTGTCACGCTCGCTGACCCACGTCGGTCCGTCCGTCACTCGCCCCACGTTGGCGGAACAACTTTTATCATTGATGAGCTCCATGTATGATGAGGGCTTCTCGCCCTCATCCATCTCCCGGAAGACGATGCAGGTGCCCGCCTCATACTCCTCCATGGCCTTCGTGAAGTTAGGCCTGTTCGGCTCAACTGCCCAATAATATTGCGATTTTAAATAAATCATCGGGATTTATTTCTTTGGTAGCAGCAAGTGAACAAATATGAAAAACATGGCAATGAAGTCCCCAGAAAAAATTTTGATATCTGACTAATCCGGATAAACCCTACGCGCCACCCTCACTCACCACCCTCACTCACCACCCTCACTCACCACCCTCACTCACCACCCTCACTCACCACCCCCACTCACCACCCTCACTCACCACCCTCACTCACCACCCTCACTCACCACCCTCCCAAGCTGTGAACTTGTACGGGATCACGACGCTGCCGTCTGAGGAGCTTTGCCAAATTCTTTCGTATGAAATTAAGTTCCTGAAGTCAGCAGATCTGGCCATCTGACGAGCGGAGTAACGCTTGCCATCCCGAACAATGTACACCGGTCCGTTGTCATCATCTTCGTAATTCGTGACAGGAATCTGCTGGTAAGTTTTTAGTGATGAAAGACATTTAAATTATTCAATGTTCTATATGTTTAGGAGCTAATAACAATTCTCAGAATTTAAAACAAAATTGATAAATATTTTGATAGACTTCTCAATCGAATTCGAATTATCATCCCTAAAATTCTGATTCTGTAAAATTTCATAGAGGTGCGGAAAAATGTTGAATTCCGTTGCGAAAATCAAACGTCTATAATTGATACGGATTGTCAGTCTACGAAATTGAAAAGGAGACTAAACAATATTCCAACCCTCACAAAACAACACGAGACGATAGACACAATGAAGCCCAGCTACGGAATGCCTCGATGCCTTAGGAGCAGGACAATATATCTAGATATCTAACAACAGCCGTATTTTCCGAGCTTCTTGCCAGTTACAATTCGCACAGTCCAAGCCCACCTTGTAATAGAGAACAGAAGGATTAAAGATACTCAAACCAACAGTCGTACTTCGCATGGCAGTCGCTGTTCATCTAGGTCAGAAACACACCTCATGCACATTGCACGGATGTATTCAAGACATCCGACAATGTACGGCTCACCGGACTCGTGCAACGCATGAACCTACACATGTTGTTGATAAAAATTCCTACAGAGTTAGGTGGTGATCAATCAGCGTCTATAAAAAAGTCAATCGCATTGGTCCCGCACTCCAGCTACAAGCATGGCCAGACAAAAATTACCGAGCATCAGCGGTGATTTGAGCGTATTGCCGGGACACTGCCTTTCACTGCCATCATAGCGCTCCAAGCGCCCGCTGGGCCTTATCATGGTCGTGCGACCGGCTGCTGGCAGGTGCAGCCAGGCCAAGACTGCCAAGCTGCAGGCGATCCCGAGCTTGCCCCTGAACGACATTGGCAAATGCCACGGCAATGCATAAACCAGGGCCGTGGAGGAAGTCACCGCGTGAGAGTTAGTTTCCAGCACGTGTGATCAACGCCACGAGCTACAAGCGGGCGTTGTGAACAAGTCAGCAGATTGGCTTGGAACTAACGCCGCTGTTTTGCATGCAATTTGGCGCAGCAGAGACCAAGCAAAGGCGCAGAAATTTAAACAGCGTTGTCTCTCATAGACAGTGTCTATTATAAAATACGACTACGGTTCGTTAGTTTAAATTGAGCTCCTTCCAAGTTCAGTAATATTCCACGATCATTGCTATTGCTATTCACGATTATTTTTTATGACGTACAGTATCTGAACTAAAATATGATGTAATCAACATCGCATTTATCGTATTACGAAATCATTGCACAGAAGCCGCTAATTGAAGTTGCTAAGCACTGGTAAAAACTGGTCCCGTCTGCATGGGTCACAAAATTCCACGGCTCGCTGCACCGGTTTGTACGTCTGATGCCGGATCCTCAAAAGCATGACTTGAGGAAGAGAAAATTATTATTATTAACAAGATATTAATATTTTGAAAATCAGAAATTTAGGTTGTTTTAGTCAAAATGTTTCTCACGATACTAACAATAGGTTCATATACTCGAAATAAATGTAATAATTGAAGAAAAGGTACGTGCTTCTAAATGTCAAAATCGAAGTATGAAAATCACACTGGTAATATTTTACTCCTGCAAATAAAATAGAAAATCTGTTGTGTTCATCGCTGCTCTGTACGTCCGCCATTTTCTAGGAGAGGCTTTAAGAAATAATTTTTTGAATCCCAAATTGAGCATGTTGCGATCACTGTTACACTTCAATTTTTGTGAACTTAGTCACCTTTCAAATTTTAATGATCCTTAATTTTCCTTTTGTGGTCTCGAATACAGTTTTGTTTGATGCAGTTTGAAGTTTGCACTTTAAATCGATTAGTTAATTATTTGCTGAAAATTTTCGTCATCAATTTTTCAATTTCAAAGCTGAATGTTTTGAAATTTAAGCTGCGAATTTGATAAGAAGTGATAAACGTTGTTGAGGATCGAATATAATATGATTTTTCGCAGAGGTTTTCTTCAAATTGATTTGGTTTAACGTTAGCGTATCGTGCGTTTCAGTTTTGCTGAATGACCAAAAACTCGCCGTCTTCACTCCGATCGGGAGCCTCGCTAGCATTTTGCCGACGGAGAAGCTGTCTCAGAGTAGAGATCTTTTGAATTTATTTCCCGTTTCTCTACCCTCTATGAATATCGACGTTTACTTCTAGCATTACAATCTGTTGTTTGATTTATTATTAAGATGAAATAAATTTTTTGAATCGCGCGGATGAAATGCTATCTAGTTTCTTTTGGGGATTTACCGCTTAGAATTTACGATGTAAAACCTGATGTGCGAATATCACCTGCCTAACAGTCTTCGTAGTCTCAAAATAGTTATTATTGCTACAATTTTTTTTAATAAACGAAAATGATAGTTAAGATTCATACATTAGCTGAATTGAGGCTATTAAAATTTAGCTGCAACACGATTGAAGCGAAGGCGCTCGGTATAAAATGTGCGGTATAAAATATACGTGGTAAACTGTCCGGATGTAATCCCGATGGCTTAGTCAGTGTAGAACTGCCGTACTGTGGTGCTTGCTCAATGGCAGTCTAATCATATGCTGGTTATGTTAATTAGACATACGCGAGATTATATATATATTGATTTCAAAAATATGCGGATGTTCAAGTTCATTCACTTATTACATTCATGCGATAGGATGAATTACTGTAATATGTGAGTATGCGTTTACCCAGCCTTCAATTTTCTGTAATGGGTCAGGCCCTCATGAATCTCAGTTGTCCCCTACCGTGAATAGGTCGACACTCATGGCATGCTTCTGCAATAACTCAAAGCCGTTTACATGGCATCTTCTTTGCAGCATTTAGATTCAAATGACGACAGGACTCACGTCAAACCCACAAAACACAGTATCCGACATATTAATACATTTACAGTGTTTCTAACAAGGTTAAACAAAACAAAGTTTTATTGCAACCAATTGAATGTAATGGCCAATGAAAAAAACACATTGCACACCAGAATAACAGCCAGAAATACGAGTATTCAACGGTTCAAAATAAATGTTCACAAAATTCTGAGATATCATACCAGTTTTATCATAGAATTCCTTTATACTGATGATTTTTAACTATACATTTGAATTGAGCATCGCATATACATAAAGTTCATCGTAAAATACATCGCTATACATAAAATTAGAGCATCGCATTTATATTATACAAACACTCATTGGTACGACATCACCGGCGCTAGAAAATTAGTGCAAAATCGCTGCAAACTTTGGAGCCTGTGTAAACTATGGCAATAAGATTAGAGAAGCTACATTAGGGATTTAGCATCGTCTGGAATGTAGCATCGTCTGGATTGTCTCTGATTTAGCATCGTCTGAATTGTAGGAGTGTAAGCCCCAATGCTGCCTTCGGCATTGCAGGGTAAAAAGATTTCGCAGTATGGGTTCATGCCATGGCCCGAGCCACTTGCTGTTCGTGTCATGGTTGTTGTTCTCTACTTGTAAACCAGAGAACAGCAACAGCCAGCAAGCCAATGATGGGGAGGGATGCACACTCATCCGTTGCTTACCGTTACCAAAACACCTACCAAGCTCACACAATACACCCGTACTGCCCTCTACTTGGCTAATGCATAACACCCATACCATCCTCTACTTGCTTCACATAACGCACATACCACTCTCTACTTAGCTAATACATAGCAACCATACTTCCCTCTACTTAGCTAATACATTTCACCCATACCATCCTCTACTTGCTTCACATAACACCCATACTGCCCTCTACTTAGCTACTACATAACACCCATACTTCCCCCTACTTAGCTACTACATAACACCCATACCTCCCTCTACTTAGCTAATACATTACACCCATATCGCCCTCTACTTAGCTAATACATAACACCCATACCGTCCTCTAATTAAATAACACATAACACCCATACAGCCTTATATTTAGCTAACACATAATACCCACACTTCCCTCTACTTAGCTCACACAGCACACCCCCAGTGCCATCTACTTAGATCACACGACACACTTACTTTTCCCTCTACTTAACTCACACAACACACCTACACTTCCCTCTACTTAACTCACACAACACACCTACACTTCGCTCTACTTAGCTCACACAACACATCTACACTTCCCTCTACTTAGCTCACACAACACACCGACACTTCCCTCTA